ATTGGTCCGAGAGGTGGCAAAGCGGTCGTAGTAACGTCTTTGCTACGTCATGTATTACTTGGGATATGAATAGAGTGAGATTTCTTCTTGAATACTGTATTCCCTGCTGGAATGTATTTTCTAACCCATTTTAACATTACTTCAATAAATGATAATTCTCGAAATAAAAACTAGATTCTTAAAACAGAATTCCATTTTCGACAACATTAAGCTCTGCACAATATGCCTAGACGCTCCTGGGAAAGAAACTGCAGTTCGCCTTTCCGCCCAGAATTTGCAAGGATCTTAAGACTGTTTTCCTGTAAAAGTGAAACCGGCTTCCCTGGGTATTCATAAACTGTCTGATTTCTAGCATGAAAACGCTTTGTGAGAGCTGTGAGAATCTTATCTGGGACAGTACCCCGATCATCGTCCATTTTTATTCAATCTTGCAAACTCTGGGTGTGATCCCAGCGGAGCCCACATACTTGGCGCGCCCAATTATATGGCGCGTATCAATGTGTACATGGACAAAGTCAAGCAAGTGTGCAATGCCAAGTTTGTGCAATTCTGTGATGTTTTTACTTCCTTGTACGAAGTAAAAAAGAAGTATTGTAATCGCGAAAAGTTTCAGGCAGCATATTTCAACGAAAATATCCATTTTGACCGCTATCGAATGCAATTTAACGATGTTTTTGCGTGATATCTGTACGTAAGGACAGAATAAAAGACTCGTTTCCTCCAAAAAAATTATAAAACTACTTTAAAATGAATTCTGAAGAGAAGTTTTCGTGGCGTCTGTACAAACGTATGTACGTACGTACGTACGTATCTCGCATAACTCAAAAACGAGTAGCCTCAGAACGTTGAAATTTTGTATATAGGACTGCTGAACGCTGCTCAAGTGGACTGCCGCCCTTAACTATAGTAAGCCTTACGGTATTTGTTTCCACTTGGCAGATGCTGTCTAATCATGACTCTATATAGGACTGCTACAACATGTAGATGTGCATCTCGTATTTTGGTTGCAATCGGCCGAATGTATATAAATATATTATATATATATATATATATATCCACTCTGTTACCCGGCTCAGTGATCTCAGTTTCTTTACTCGTATATGTTTGTAAATTGTACATTTTTGCTTTAAAAATGATTGAATTATGTTGTTTTTATCTTCCGGTTAAGGTTTTTATGCCTTTAGTAAATCTGTATGCAATATTTTTAGAATTATTAACAATTTTAAAGTTGTTTAAGTGCCGCTAAGCCTTTTTTTTTTTTATGGCGGCCATTGATTGTTTACATTTGAAACAGCAGACTAGTGGATTTGTTGCCAATCTAGAGAAACTTAGCTTCGCAACAACAAAGATAACGCCTTCATTTATTATTGCCAATTAAATCATGCTTAATCCTTTCTGGAATTTTTTCGAGGAAATAAGTGTTTAAGATTTACTTCGTAATTTTTAATATATATATTTTGAGTTTTTATGTATTTTTGCTTTGTCGCGAAGTGAAAACTGAATTAATTGAATGACAATTACTCAATCGTCTGTGAAAAACTGTTTGTTTTTTGTTTTGTTTGCTTAATTTCTTTTATACATCGTTCTAGCTTTATTATAGTATTTGAATGGAACATGTGGCAACTGTTAGCTAATTCTATTCTTTAAATGATATAAATTTTGTGCATTATGAGTTATAATATGAACGAAATATAATACTGTTAAGTGAATCTAGCGCCAGAGTGTCGCTATGGTAAACAAATACTAGAGTGAATTTTAAAAAATGCATTTATTCTATTGTGGTTTATGCGCTGTTGGCGACGTAGATTCAATTCAATAAGTTTAAATGAAATGCAAGAAAAAATGCGTATAATTTAATATTCCGTACAAGGAAGTCATGTGGTGTACACATCAGATTTTTTTAAGTGAAAATAGTTCGATGTGTACATGGATACCGAGTTTGCGCAATTTTTTGACTTGTTATTTTCAAGTTGGCGATTTTGAGAAACGCGCGAAGCAGTGGGAGATTCTGCACTTTCCCAGTTTGTCGCCAAGGCTGCGGGCTCTCCTGGGATTTTACCCAAACTTTGTTTTGACCATTTCTGCGCCAATAAGTCTTATGCAAGACAATGCATGTGTACCATGACTGCTGTATGATGTACATTTTTGTGTTACATCTACCCAAGTACGTGGCAGATATCGTTAAAACCTGCCCATCCGTTTTGGAGATAATGAAACAAATTTTAAATTTCTCCTAATTTTTAAAACCTGGTAGAAAAAACCAGGTCACTATTTACAGAAAATAAACACACAATGTAATTTGAGTCAAACTTTCGGAAGATTTCTCAGGTAAAGTCATCTAGTTCCCAGTAACGGCCTCATGTTTTGTACCAACGCATTCAAACTCAGCTACCAGCGTAATTTTTTTCTACAAATGGACACAGACAAATTTTAACCCTTTCTGGCACTCTACATTTTAAAGTTGGAGTTTTGATTAAAAAAAATATAAATAGGTAATCAGTCTAATTAGGCCTGGAGGAGTACACAAGTAAAATTTTGTGAAGATAGCACTTATCGTTTAATTCTGTGGGTGTGCCCAAATTGGGCACACTGATTGGGAATAGAGCTTCAAAAAGAGTGCTGAAACGAGCATTGTTGTCAATGAACTGACCGATGAGATGCGGAGAAACAAAGAATACAGACTTTCTGTTGTGCTAGATGATCGGTGAGCCCGGTCTGGGCACACCTAGGGTTCGCCGTTTGATTTTAGGCAAGATTTCAAGGTCAAAATTTAAAACTAATATCGAATAAGATTAGCATACAGCAAAAAAAAAAATTCTTTTCAAACAATTCCTTTTATACCCTAAAAAAATCTGGAAGATTTCTTTGAAACTTTCAGATTCCTTCTTTGAAACTTCCTTCTTTGAAAAAAAACTAAACATGGCTAAAATATATGGACTGGTTTGTGTTGAGCTGCCATCTACTGTAAATAAAGAGAAAGTTCAGAGTAACCTAAAAATGGATTTCATTTTCATTCAATTTTTCTGTGCGTACAGGAGGAAATTTTTAGGTGTGTCCAGACCGGACACACTGTGCAGCAAAGGGTTAAAAAAAAAAAGAAGGCAGTAAGACACTTTTCCATATCTCTGTAATTGTGAGAACATTAGAAAGCTACATTAGATTTTAAATTCTAAAAGCTACATAGATAGAAATAACTTACACTAAACTTCCCTCTGTCATAAAATAGAAAAAAGCAGTAATCTGGCAATGCCATCTCAGTGCTTCTAGCACGTGAAGGCAAACTCAACTTGGCAAAAGTTGCAACTTTGTAATTTTGCAAAGTTGTGTTTAAGATTCCTATAAATTTCAACAAACTTTTGTTTCAGTGTGTTATTCTTTCACTACAATAATAGTTGAATAATACTGAAAATTTTAAAACTGATGTTATAGCAATTTAGTATTTATTTTAAAATAGGGGTGCTACTTTGGTAGACGGTTAAACAGATTTTGGCGATTTTTTTTTTGGCGAGCGATACGACTTATGGTAAATCCGTTGTTGCTGGACAAGTTATTTATGGTAACCTATACTTTGTTGCCATTTTATTTAAAAAATAATGCGTTTTATTATGCATAAATTCCGTGTTTTAAATATTATTTATGGCTTCTAAATATTAAAAGTCAATTTAATTTTGCATTTTTATTTAAAAAAAAAGTTTATATGTTATGATATTTTATAATTTTTGTTGTGGATGATGTAATCAATGACGTCACCTTACTTTAAAAGTAATTGGTTTTAATGTCTATAAATTTTAATCTAATGTTCAAACATTATTTATGGCTGTAAACATTATTTAAAACGTTGGTATGATTTTTAATTCGCTATTCAATTTAAGTAATATTTTAATCCAAATAAACGTTGTAAGCAATATTTTTATAGGGGTATTTTTATTCTATTCTTTGTTATCAAAGTAATAATTAATCTTAGTTTAGTATTTATACTTGTAGTAAATATATTTATTTACATTGGCCTGCCATCTTAAAAAATGACGTTTTCAACAAAAAAATTAATCCATTATTTTTAACGATATTTATTTTTTAAAGTTTCGAATACTTTACTATGCGTAAAATACGTAAAAACATCATTTTTTAAGATGGCTGACGATTGTAAAAACCCCGCCAACATCGCCGAAAATCCGTGCAGCCGTCTACCAAAGTAGTACGAAAATATGAAAGCAGTTTATATATTACATTATTTCTTTTCAAAAAAAATTTCGATCAACACATTACGATATTATGGTATCAAAGACAGAAATGCACATTAATGTGAATCGTTCCATAACAAAACAAAATAAACACGAATACTAATCAAGGCGTCCTGTACTCAAACAGTTATTATAAAATACACAACACGAAAACAATTCTATTTAAAAAAAAAAAAAGGGTTTCCTTGTTGCCACTCACCGCAAACTAAATATAATTTAAAACTCTGGGATCTGACATACAGAAAATTGTTAGATAGATAAATAACATCAGAGCTCAAAGAGTCCTTTGTAAGAGGATCCGCTTTTGATTTTTAGACAATTCGACATCATTATATGATTGTTTGGTGGATTTGATTTTAGATAAGCTTCCTAATTATTAAAAACAAAATTTTTCGAAATTCGCAGTGTATCCCCTCTTTCTAAGAAAATTTTAATCTTAAAATTTTCAAACTTTTAAACGCTGTAAAGTTGAAATTTAAAACATTAAAAGTTGTTGTAACATAAAAATTTGTAAAACTTTATATCATATAATTCAGAAGATATATCATGTAATTCTACACAATGGATAATAAATACACCATAATGAAATTAAAAACATTCAAATTCTTAAATGAATGTGATTCAACATTAAATTCACATAGTAAAAATGTCTGTTTCATTTGTAGTTAAACTCAACAGATACGCCATACTGAAGAGCATGCACGCGACACGATTTATAGCAAACTATGAAACCAGCCGAAGCGTATTATTTATTGACCGGCGATATTTTGGATTCAAGTTATGGAACAAGCACAGATTACGTAAACTTAAAGAAGTAAATTTTCAAATTATTGTTAGAAGATATATCAAATTAATCTTTCATTTATAATTTGTAGACGTCTTAGTGCTTGGGTAAGTTTCGTTTTCTAATACTAAAGCTACTAAAATATCTCAATTTAGTTCTTTTTTCCCCTTTTCTACTTTTATAAATAAGGAAAGCTTAAAAAGATTTTCTATCAAAGCCATGAATATATTTTTTCCAAAATCCTGAACCTAGTTTTCCTAATAAAACGGCTAAAATTCCATAAGCGGGGTAAGTTGGCGCCAAACTATTTTGGCCTTCAAAATTTGGCGAATTTTTTAGGCCACTAAAGGAAAGCACTAAAATGTGATTTTTAAACGTAAACAGAATAGTAACTTTTAAGTTTTGCAGTAGTTGAAACGCCGTTATTTTTGTAAACAGAGAATAGTTAAAATGAGATGATAAAATACTAGATGAGTAAAAAACAAGCCCAACAGCTTTGCAAGAAAAAGCATAGTTCTATATATATGTAATTCATCATAAAATAGTAGAATGAACAATTCTTGTAAATAATTATGAGTAAATAAATGTATAGACTTATAGATCAGGCACTGCGAAGTCATTTAAAGTAAACAGAATAGCAAATATACGTATTCAGCATCATAAAACTAACTAAAATATTCAAGTTTACATCGTCGTGGAATTCAACACATAAACAATTTCGTTCAAAACTTTAAATATTCCACATCTTCGATTGCCCACATGCAAGAAACAAAACACAAAAAAAAATTAACTAATAAAATTAAATGAAACATTCATAAATTATAAATTTATGTCATATGAAATTGATTGAGTGTTTCATTATACCTACGCAAAATACAAGGTTTTTCTTACGATTTTGATATGTATATATATATATATTAAACAGTAAAACGTTTCAAACCAAACACAGTATTTCAAAATTAAATTTTAAAAAAATCTTCTGGCTACACTAAATTCGCATTCTTACTTACAAATACCGAAATAAAGCTTACATAAATTGCCACAAGAAAAATACATTACTAAAATAATTACAAGAAAAATACAGCCGGAAACCACAACCAAATTAAAATCGCGCCAAATAAAAAACTCTCGCCAAGCTTGGCGCTCACCCCGATTATGGAATTTTAACATATAAAACTGCAATTACATTATTTATAATACTGTGATATAAGCAATAAAATACCTGCTTAAATAATCAGGGACAATAAACTCTATAAATCTGAACTAAGAGAGAACTAGAACTCAGAAAGGAAACTGCAAGTTAGTTGTTCGATTTCAACTAATGTGTGTATTCACTGAGGCTGCGACATGCATTCGATCTCTGTTTATCTCAATAAATGTTAATAACAGAAATAAAGATATAGTTGTTTATTGGTTTACATGTTTTAGAAATTATAAAAAAAAACAGAAATTTTAACAAGATTAATGGGTAAAATTAATTATTAATAGAAATTGAGGCTAATCTTTGGAATATGGTAACAGGTAGTTTGGCGATATTTTGGTAAGGCGATAAAGGTTACTAGCTAGGACTTTAGCAATAATCTGCGAAGTACTTTCCATCTTGTATCTTGTGTGAAACAGTGTTGCTTAATATTTGGATCCCATGACCCTCTCTAAAATAAATTCCAAACTTTTATTGCATTTATGTGATCATCCAAAAGAGTTGCTTGAATAGTGTATGAGTGTAGGATTAATTGCGGATAAGTATGAATGTCCAACATGTGGGAATGAAATGAGATTGTGTGAAAGGAAGGATATCACAGATAAGTTTGAATGGCGGTGCAAGAAATCTCGTGAAAATGGACTTTCCGGAAAATTCCGATCGTGATTTTAGTTAATAGGTACTTAGAAACAATTTGCACCTAATCTTCGTCATGATTAAGCCCTTTTGTTCCACAAAAGTTCTAGCATAAGCGTAATTCGGATAGCAGATTTTTGGAAAAAATGTTGAGTAAAAAAAAAAAAAAAAAAAAATGCCTTTACTTCGTGAAAACAAAATGGCGTCAAAAAAAAAACTCACAGGTTGCTGTAGCAGGGCAGGTCGCCAAATTTTCGCCAAGTTACCATAATCCGAAGATTCACCGAAATTGAAATGCGAATCTCAAACTTTCTGAAAAACATTTTCATGGGTGCACTTGGCGAGGTCCAAAACACAGCGAATGGATTTAATTGCGTACTGCTTTCTGATGAGATGTTCGCATAATTTGATTGTCTAGTTTTTATGTTTATTATCATTTTCATATCATTTCTCTCAGCGAATCTTAAATTAAGGAAACATTTTCCAGTTTTTTTATTTATCATATGTGACATTGGTATTTTCTTCAACATACATTCATTTGCAATTTCCTAGCTATTCATACGACTATGTCATGTCTTTTACTTTTCAAGGCGCTTTTACGCACACTATATTATATGCCTATCAACAAACATATTAAAGCAACTATTTTGACACAGATTAAAAAAAAAAAGAGAGAGAGAGAGAGAAGGGGGAAGTGCAGAATCGCCCACTGCTTGGCGCGTTTGTAAGAATCGCACATATTCGGTATCTATGTGCACATCGACCTATTTTCACTTAAAAACACATACCAGAATTGCAGAAAAATGGCATTGCGCACTCCCTTGACTTCTATCCATGTACACATCGACCTATTTTCACTTAAAAAGTCAAAGAAAATTGACAAAAGTCCAAATTCTTCTTACTCTTGTAAAAAGCACCAAACAAATAAGTGGACGATTCTGCACTTTAGCCAAAAAGAATAATGATTTATAATTTCGCACAATTATTTCATGAATACACATTTGACGTTTTAATTAGGGGTACAATTCCGTTATAAGAGCCGTAAAAAAACTGCTGTTGATGCCAATGCTGCTAAAAAATAGTTACGGTAACCCTAACGCAAGAAAAGAAACATAATAGTAAATAACTATCTAAGATTATTGTTTTAGTTTAGAATTTTTTTGTAATTATAATTTATAACAAAAGGCTAAACATAACTGAAATTAAACGGGAGATATAATTTTTTTATGCCCCTACATAGCAGAGAATATTTCAGTTTTTTTTTTTTTTTTTTTTTTTTTTTTTTTTTTTTTTTTTGGTCCAAGCGTCTGTACTCGAACTGGACAACTTTTGGACAACTGCTGGGCGCTGGAAACTCTAGCTACGCCCCTGTCTATGGCGCTCACGCTTGGGGTCCACAAAATTGTAGTTGTGATTGACAGTAAAATGTTCAAAACTGGCATTTTGCAGTTCATCTGACTTGTATGACTTCAAGCAATCAGTATAAATAATGTTTCCTTTTGCGATATTTTCTTTTATGACGTTCAGTAAAGTTTACGCCGATCGTTCTGGAATAGCGATTAAGAAGAAACATTCATTCGATTCTTTGAATAATCCGCCGAAAACACATTGGGGCGGAAGAAACCGTCCAACGTTATTCTTTCTTCTACTAAAAAAACTTTTGTCTACTTCAATAATTTTGCCCCATCCGCCAATTTTTAACCCCTTCGAGCCGGGTAGCCAAAACGCGCGCTTATCGCGGAGGCCTAACAGCAGTCAGTATGAATTTTTAATGCTTCCTTCTGCGATATTTTCTTTTATGACGTTCAATAAAGTTTTCGCCAATCGTTCTTGAACAGCGATTAAAAAGAAGCCTTCATTCGATTATCTGCATAATCCGCCGAAAATATATTGTAACGGAAGAACCCGTCCAACGTTATTATTTCTCTTACTGAAAAGGCTTTCGTCTTCTTCAATAGTTTTGCCCCATTCGCCGATTTTCAAGTTAAACCGAGTAAATAAAGTTGCGGCACACACTTCGCGCATGTAACCGTTCCAGTCTTACAGTTGTACTGTGGTTCATCTTCAGCTGCATTCAATAGATGTCATCTTCTGACAACAAAAATAGATGAACCTAACCGTTGTAAGCAAGGGGATTTTCGATCATTCGAACCAATTTTGACTTAATCCTTTCTTACAGGTTTCTTTCCTGCACCGTCATTACGTTACTGAGTTACCGCTAAAGCATAATTTCATCTCGTGGTTGTTCGAACATAATTTTCTATCATGAATAATGCCTGCTCTTCGAAAAAATTCTATTGCAGACTTTTCGTCATTGGGTAATTCCCAAATTGTTAAACCCATAGCAATATTAGAAAGAATTAAAAAATTAAAACTGTATTTCATGGCGATTATACAGTGGCTCCCAAAGTGTTCGTACACTTATGATTTCATTGTGAATAGGGCTCTATCCATTAATTAAATGTAAACTTTCTGAAATGAGATTTTAATAATAAGATCTATAATCTATTCGTAACAAAATTACATGAAATATTTTTTAAATATAGCGAAACTTTATTTTTCAGAATCTTCGTACATTTCAAAAATATCTTGACATATTAGTAAATATTTTTCGTTAAATTAATATTTAGTAAGATATCCTTTAGCATCCACAATAGCTTTTATGGTAACGTATGGAAATATTTTTTTTTTTTTTTACTTGTAATTTTTGTTATCAATGTTCATCCATTCTTCCATCATGACTGTTTTGACTTCGCTTTTCGTTTGGATGTCGTGTTTTCGTACCCTAACCTCCAGTTCTTTCCAAATGCGTTCTATGGGGTTTAAATCTTGCGACTGATGTGATGTTTTCAAAACCTGTGGACAATTATAGAGACAACACAGGCGAACGTTGAGAGCCGTATGCTTAGGATCGTTATCATGATTAAAAATAAAGTTGTTTCCAATACCCAAATTTTGGGCTGATAATTTTAAATTGTCTCTTAAAATATTTAAATAAAGAGAATGATTCATTATGCCATCAATAAATACCAAATTACCTAGTCCTGACGCTACCATGCACCCCCACACAAGAACACCTCCACCGCCATGCTTAACTGTTCCAACTAAGTTCTTAGAATCAAGTTCCTCATTTTTTCTTCTCCATGTAGTTATTCGACCATCGGAACCAAAATTGTTAAATTTGCTTTCGTCAGCAAATAGGACATTATTCCAGTACGTTTCGGGTGTATTTATCATTGACTTTGCGAATGAAAGCCTGAGCTTTCTGTT